TCCTCCGGATTCCCGCGTGCTCCGCAGGATCCCCTAGCACCGCTGCCGGTGCACAACTGCTCATTCCTGGCTCTGAGCCCGCAACCGAGTGGGCCTCGCTGAGCTCCCGCTGTCCCACGGGCATACAGCCTATGAGGGCCTGTTCAAATCCCTTTGCTCGGGCTCCAGGCACGGACCTAGGAGCTGAGCTGTGGGCTCCGTCAGGAGGGGGTGCCTCTGCAGTGTGACACGTGGAGAGACAGGCTCCCACCAACACGCTGCATTTCTAAAGGAGCGGCTCTCTGCTCGGAGGGGTGATTCTCTGCCACCAGAGTGTGATAAGAAGAATCCTGCTGGCAACCAAATGCCCCAGGAACCGGTTTGACCAAAGAAGAAAAAGAAACCCACCCTCAGTCAATATCCTCCACCAAAGGGCTCACAGTCAAAAGGTATTTGTGTCAAAAAACAAAAAAAACAAAAATCCCGAAAAGGAATGTTAGCAATATCTATGGAAGAGAAAAAGTTTCTAGGAAAAATTAGGGCTGTATGAACGTTGATAAAATTTTACCTTAAAACAACTCACCACAATATGCCTCGATGCGTTTCCATATGTGCTGTTTACTTTAACTGTGATGGGGTTTTCTAAGTATTTTGCGACTAAATCTTTGAAAGAAGGCACAGCATCACTGGGATCCAAAAGCCAGGCAGCAATTCTGGGATCAAACCCGACAAAGTCGGCAACTGAAGAGAAACAGGGTATTTAATAACCTAAGGAAAACGATCAGCAATAATACTCTCTGCCTACTTTTACGAAGTGTCAAGGTTAAAATTAATGATAAAAGTACTATCATGCCCTCAAACTAGCGAAGAACCAAAGGGACGCCCCACTATTGCTCATGAACTTAGGAATTAAAGGGTAGCCTTTATGGGTTCAGTCTCACATCATCACTCTCTTATAAGGCAGTGGGGACACATTAATGAAGCAAATTCTAGAAAAAAGGATGGGGGCTCCAAACGAATTTGGAATTTGGATCACTCAGGAATATGTTCAAAGATGAGAATTCCTAAATGAGTTCAGCAAGGTTGCGGGGTACAAAATCAAGATACAAAAATCAACTGTATTCCTACACAGACAGTAGCAACGGTAAATGTGAAATGAAATTATGAAAACAATTCCACTCATAATAGCATCAAAAAGGAAAAATTCTTACAAATATGTTTTTTAAAAAGAGTAAAGGTATACTCTAAAAACTATGAAACATTCGGAAAGAAATTAAGGAATCCCTAAAGAAAAGGAGAGGTGGTCCGTATTCACGCACGCCTCCCCAGACTGATCTGCAGATCCCACACAGCCCCCATGAGAACCCCCGCGACGCCACTGCACAAACGCATGGGCTGATCCAAAAGTTCATCCGGAACTGCATGGAACCCAGAGTACCAATGCTGCAAAGGAAAGGATTAAGTACGAAGATTCAAATTTCCAACTGCCAAACCTACTAAAGCAATGGTTATTAAAACAGTGTGGCACTGGCATGAGGATGGATATTTACGTCAATGCACAGATTTGAAAGTCCAGAAATAAACCCAAACAGCCACAGTCAAATGATTTTCAACAGGGCGCCAAGATCATTCCGGGAAAAGAAGTCTTCTCAACAAATAAGACTGGCAAATCTGGAGGTCCACACGCAACAGAATGAAGGTGGATGTGGTGCACACCACAGACCAAAATTAACTCAGAATGGACCAAAGCCTAAATATAAGAGCAAAAGATATGAAAACAGAAGAAAAGAGAGAGGTACATCTTCATGACTTTGGATTTGGCAAAGGATTCTTAGATATAATACCAAAAGCACAAGCAACAAAAGAAAAAGCAGGTAAACTAGGGTTCATCAAAATTAAAAATATCTGTGTTTCAAAAAACGCCATTAAGGCAACCCTTAGAATGGCAGAAAATACCTGAAAATCATCTATCTGATAAAGGACTTGTATCTATGAAGCATTCTTATAAGGCAGTTATAAATGGCATATACACAATTAAAACAGAGGCAAAAGATCTGAATACATGTTTCCCCAAAGAACACGTAACTAAAAAAAATATCCAACTCACAGCGACCCCTCCTTGGGTTTCCGAGGCAGTATCACTATGGAAGTAGATTGCTCAGTCTTCCTTCTGAGGACCGGCTGGTGGGTTTGAACCGCCAGCCTTCTGGTTAACAGTCAAATGTCTCAGTCATTACACCACCAGAGCTCCTAAAGAACACATGTTGTTGTTGTTGTTGTTACATGCTGTCAAGTTGGACCCAACTCATAGTGACCCCTCCTTGGATTTCCAAGGCAGTATCACTACAGAAGTAGATTGCCCCATCTTCCTTCCGAGGACTGGCTGGTAGGTTTGAACTGCCAGCCTTCTGGTTAGCAGTCAAATGTCTTAGTCACTATGCCACCAGAGCTCCTAAAGAACACATAAGAGTGGCTAATAAGCATATGAAAGTATGTTCAGCATCATTACTCAACATCAACAACAACAACAACACTGCTTCAACCTGAACTTGTACGAACAATTGATGGCTTGTCCCACAGTCAGCTCCAGGCTTTGTTTTGGCTGAAGATAATGAGGTACTTCATCACCTCTTTCCACAGATGTAGTAGATCTGAGTCCTATGTACTCCATCTGGTGAGGTCCACGTGTATAGCCACCATTTATGTTGTTGAAAAAAGGGTATTTGCAATCATTAAGTCACTAGTCTTGTAAAATTCTATCATGCTATCTCCAGCATCATTTCTATCATGAAGGCCATATTTTCAGCTACTGGTGATTCCTTGTTTCCAACTTTCGCATTCCACTCACCAATAATCATCAATATATCTTGATTGTATGTTTGGTCAGTTTCAAAGTGCAGAAGTTGGTAAAAGTCTTCAATTATGTCATCTTTGCCTTTAGTGGTTGGTACATAAATTTGAATAATAGTAATTGTGGTTAATTATTTTCAGCAAAATTTTACTAGCATGTGAGATTAATGTTATTGTTCAATAGATGAATTAATGGACCTTCAAAAGGTGAATGTATAAACAAAGTGTGTATATCCATTCAGTGGGATGTTACTCAACAGTTGAAAGGATAACAAGCACTTCCAATGTTGTATCTGCTTGTTGATATATCTGAATGAGTATTCTGTTAATACGGAGGCTTTTTTTCACTGATGCCTTCAGCGCGGTGTGGACTTCTTTCTTCAGTATCGTTGGTTCTTTATCACATGCTATTTCCTGAAACAGCTGAACATCAACCAGTTCTTTTTGGTATAGTGCCTCTGTGTATTCCTTCCATCTTCTTTTCATGCTTCCCGCATTGTTTAATATTTTGCATTTAGAATCCTTCAATATTAGGAAGGAAGGTTGGGCAATCCTACTTCCATAGTGACACTGCCTCGGAAACCCAAGGAGGGGTC